AAACTCCTATCAAGAGAGCACTTCCCACACCAAGCTTTTACCTTTCTTGACTTGTTAAAGCAACTCTACAAGAAAGGCAGATACACAGATGCTAGAACTAAAAGACTGACTGAGCATAGCTTAAAAAAAAGAGTAGAGTATAATAAAAGGAAGAAGAGAAACTTATATTAGTGCCTGGGATCCATGGGGAAAATGTCCCTTGATCTTTTTAAACATACAATTTCATTACAAACAGCATATCTGACCCCTTCAACAAAATCAGAGCATTGGGGTTTATTTTCAAAGCTAGTAATAAATGCAGAAGCATTTTGAACTGCAAAGAATCACCAATACAAATTCCAAAACAGATTTTTCCTTATCTCATACTGAATTAATCTGCTAATTATTTCCTTGGTTAATCAGCAGTAGTAGTCTGGATGTCAGAATTTCCGCCTACTTCTGGCATATTACGAAGGTCTGTGTGAAACTGGGGATGAGGATATTGTATCTTTCCCCACATTCATGTTTGAATTTTTCCTTAAATTCACTTGTACAATTTCATTTGTCAAATAGGTACCGACAAAAGAAATTCAAGACTTTCTAGGACAAAAATGGTGAATGGAATGTATATAATTCTTCCCAGCAATCTTTTCTTTTTGTAGTGACAACTAAGAGGAGAAAAGTTTCAAATGACATAGAATAATTTCCTACCTTTTCTTTTATTAAGCTCCACAACCGAACTCACTGTTACACATCTATTCTTCCAAAAGATAGTCTTAACATTGTTGTCAGAAACATGTTTTGGTTTCCACTCAGATGAGATAGAAATTGACTTAATATGAAAATAATGGTTCAATGAGTCTGGATTCTTACTGTTAATGCTGCTTGTTTGGTGGCCTTGGAGAAGTCTTTATGGCTTTCTGAATTAGAGTTTTCCTAGCTGCAAAGTAAGGGAGGGCTCTGAGTTTGTGCTCGCTTCAACCTTCTATGCCTCGAGACTTCTTTTTTGTGTGGCAGGGACAAATGTGCTGAGATCAGGGCTCCAGCCTCTAAATTACAATGGATGGGCTTCCTTTCCAGCAGTGCAACAATATTGTCTGATTATGATCATCTCTTAAGGTTCCTCAGCTCTAGAGGTTTGTTTCTGGTTAGGAGAACCCAGGGATTTCCTCTTGTCCTCCATAATTTTCTCACCTAACTTTGTAATTTGGCCTCATTATAATGCCTTGTATACTGCGAAACTTAAAAACAAACAAACAAACAAACAAAAAACACCAAAACACTCTTCTGGAAATCTCTGGGGATTTAAGACTTGCAGCTTTTGTCCTGGGCATAAATGAGGCTTTCTGTTACTTCCAAATTTTTGTTTTGGCAGGAAAGCTGAATGGAAGTCGCAACCCCTAGTTTCATTCAATTCTCTCACTGCCAAATTCTGTCCTTGAGCAAACTCCAGTCCTCCTCCAATCCTGTCTCCTATTTATATTTGACCATGAACTTGTTTACCTGCATTGTCCGTTGTTGCAGGAGTGTTGTTACCTAGTTTAGGGAGATTCTCCCATCCTTGATATCTGATCACCCCAATATCTGATCAAATTCCTTATTCACCACTGTCCCTCAGGTGATACCTAAATATCTCAACTTGTCTTCCTTAGGAACAGTGTGAGATCATTTTAGTAAAAATTGCACTTCACTCTTACTGTTTTCTCTTTTTAACTTTTCATTCTTTGACACCCTAGACACACAGACACACACACACATGCATGCACATGCACACACACAATTCCATGCCTATAAATTCTTATTGTTCTCTACTCTATTCAAAATTGAGCCCAGTGCTCAGCTGAGATCTCTTTTCCTCTTTCATAATATTTCATAAATTATTTTTCTAGTTTACTTATGGCTCTGATATTTTATTTAATCACTGAGTCCCTTCCTGGGCATTTATGAAGCATCAGCAATGTGCTAAAGACTGCATTCATCACTGTAGAAGAACTCAGAAATACACAAGGACAGTATCTTATAAGGGTTTAGGTCTCTGTAGCTGAAGTTGATGAAAACTGACTTGTGACCGAGTGTGTCTGAAACAATGATTAGACAAGATGGGACAAAAACTGGGCCAAGAGTCAGATCAGGTGTCAGGAAGCAGGGGTGTGGGGAGGACTTCTGAAAATGAGCAGGGTTGGAACTGTAAGATCCTCCCAGGGAGGAATCCCACCACTCTAAGTCCGGGACCCCACGATGCACCATAAACACCCCGGAGAGAGGATTCTTGATGCAAAACACAAGAGGTCTTTATTCCAGCGCGCTGGGGCTCAGCTCATAACCCTCGCAGGGGCAGAGGAGTTGAGCCCCGAGGCAGGGTAGAGACACAGTTTTTAAAGGAAAAAACCACAAGCTATAGAGTAGGGGGAATTCCGAGAAAGGGGTCAATTAAGGGAACATTCAGTTACAAAGGGTGGGGACTTCGGGGAAGTGGGACCATGGATTGTTCAAAGGGGTAGGGTCTGTTCCGCACCAGACATTTATCTTGGTTCCTGCCTCTCAGGAATGTTTAAGGCGACCTTTTGACTTGTCATGGTTAGCTGACTCTGCTAGGGGTTGGGCTCTTAGATCTTCTTAATACTTTTCCTAACAATCCTCCCTTTTTCTTTTTGCACATGTTCTAATTTTAGAACCCTTAATGTCTAGTTTCCTCATGTCCCATACCTAAGGCTTGGGTTCTTAGAGGCTGGTATTGTTGTCTTAACATTAGTACTTGTACTGCACTGACTCTTTCTCTGATGAAGGCAACTAATCTATTCAGAACACAGGGCCCCACGGTTAGAGGTAATAAAAGGATAATAAGGGGTCCCAATAAGGTGGACACCAAAGTGGTGATCCAAGGAGATTTGGGGAACTACTCAGAAAGGAGTGGATTAGGGTCAGGAGTCCGTACAACCTTAAACATGAAGGGGTTAGAAATCTTTTCCAGTCTCCATTCTGGGGCTGGTGGGGGGGCCGGTTTGACGTGGGAAGCATGGATCCAAGCTGATATTCCGTCGACTTTGACGGCGGTGGGAGTGGTCAGCAATACCGGGAAAGGTCCCTTCCAACGAGGCTCTAGGTTGCCTGCCCGGTGACGGCGGACGTAGACGGAGTCCCCGATTTGAAATTGATGAGGAACTTGGAGGTCTCCTGGAGCATAAGCTTCTCTCAGGTGTTGCCACACTTCACGTTGGACAGTTTCAAGGGCTTTTAATCTACCATAAAGAGGTTTAGAAGAGACAACATTTGGATCTGTCAAGTTACCAACTCCTATTAAAGGAGGAGGGGCTCCATAAAGCAATTCAAAAGAGGTTAAACCAAATTTTCCTGGAGTATTCCATACTTGGAACAAAGCAAGGGGTAGGAGGACCGTCCAGTCTATAATGCCAGTCTCTGAGGACAATTTGGTCAAGGTCTCCTTTAATGATCTATTCATCCTCTCTACTTGACCTGAACTTTGGGGTCTATAAGCACAGTGCAATTTCCAATTAAACCCCAGGACCTTGGCTAGTCCCTGACTTACCTGGGCAACAAACGCTGGTCCATTGTCTGAACCGATTACCTTAGGGATGCCAAACCTTGGGAAGATCTCTTCGAGTATCTTCTTTGTCACAATAGTAGCAGTTTCTGTTCTTGTGGGGTAGGCCTCTACCCATCCTGAAAAAGTGTCTATGAAAACTAGGAGGTATTTATTATTATATTTAGCAGGCTTTATTTCAGTGAAGCTGACTTCCCAATAGCTGCCAGGCCTGTCCCCTCGCAACCTTTTTCCCGGGGGATGCCTAGAAGGATAGGCATTTACCAGCTGGCAGGGTATACATTGATGGATGGTTTCATCAGCTAGCTCAGATATATAATATGGGGAAGTCTGAACTATCTTCTTTAGATGTTTGGCCCCTAAGTGAGTGAGCCCATGTAGTTGTTGAAGATAAGTTTTGGCCTCTTCCCTTGGTAGGATGGTCTTTCCATTGGGCAGGACATAAGTCCTGTGTGGCTGAGGTTCTGAGAGTCCTAAGTCATTTACCCCCTGTAAGTCTTTCTCAGAATAGGCGAACTTGGTAGTGGCAGTCCCTAGGTCTTCCTGTAGAGGGAGAATATTAATGCCTTGAGCGGCTCTTTTTGCCTCTGTATCTGCCTGTTGGTTTCCGATGGCAACAGGATTGGTTTCTCTTTGGTGTCCTGGGCAATGGATAATTGCCACTTTTCTTGGCAAATGTATAGCTTCTAAGAGGTCCAGTATTTCCTTTTTATTTTTAATTTCTTTTCCAGCTGAAGTTAAGAGTCCCCTTTGTTTATATATGGCTCCATGTATATGAGCCGTGGCAAATGCATATCGGCTGTCAGTATAGATGTTGATATCTTTCTTTTCTGACAATTGGAGGGCCTGGGTAAGGGCGATTAGTTCTGCCCTTTGGGCTGAAGTCCCTTCAGGTAAACTACTGGCCCAGATCACTGAAGTGCCATCTACCACTGCCACTCCCGCTACCTGCTTACCTTCCACGATGTAGCTGCTTCCATCAGTGAACCATGTGAGAGCTCCAGGCCAGGGTTGGTCAGTCAAGTCTTTCCTGGACCCAGCCTCTTCAGCCAAATCTTGTGGCATTGATGTATCACCTGTTCCTCGGTGACATCAGGCAGCAGGGTTGCGGGATTGAGAATAGCTGGAGGATCAAACTGGATTCTTTCATTCAGAAACAGAGTCTGATAATGAACCATCCGGGCATTGGACAGCCATCTATCTGGAGGCTGTTGGATAATGCTCTCTAAGGCATGGGGAGCTATGACAGTTAATTGTTGTCCCATAGTTAGTTTATCAGCGTCTTTCACCAAGGTGGCAATGGCAGTTATTGATTTTAAGCAGACAGGCCATCCCCATGCTACTGGGTCCAGCTTCTTTAACAGGTAGGCCACTGGCCTTTTCCAAGGTCCCAAAGTTTGGGTTAACACTCCTTTTGCAATTCCCCTTTTCTCATTGACAAACAGGGTAAAGGGCTTAGTTATATCAGGTAGACTGAGAGCTGGAGCAGACAACAAGGCCTGCTTGATGTTGTCAAAGGATTCTTGTTGTTGGGGTCCCCAAGTAAAGGGGGCACCTTCCTTAGTAGGGTTACCCTGGGCTCAGGGAGGGGCTCCGAGCCCTGTCCCCTCTAGCTGTTTTCCTCTCCCAGGGCCAGTATCTTAGGAGGTCCTCCCTTTTTCTTAGGGCATTCTCTAGCCCAATGTCCATTTTCCTTGCAATACGCACATTGATCTTTGTCTAGTGGTCTTCTGTTGCCCAGGTACCCTGTCTGCCTTGGTTTATTTTCTCGACCCTTATAATTTTTTTCCCTAACGACTGCAGCCAAGATCCTAGCCAAGTCCTTTTCCTTCCTTCTGTCTCTCCTTCTCTCGTTCCTCTCTTTCCTTTTCTCTCTGCTGCTCTCTTTCTTCCTCTGTCTCTCTCTTATGATACACCTTGTCTGCTTCCTTTACCAGATCTCGTATAGTATAATCTTGTAATCCCTCAATTCGCTGAAGCTTCTTTCTAATATCTGGAGCTGATTGTCCTATGAAAGCCATGGCTACAGAAGATCTCTGTCCCTCCGATTCTGGTTCAAAGGGGGTATACCGCCGGAAAGCGACCATTAATCTTTCCAGGAATACTGAAGGCGGTTCCATCTCCCCTTGAGTAATCTCTCTTACCTTGGCCAAATTGGTCGGGAGTCTTGCCGCTCCCTTGAGACCCACCACTAGAGTCTGGCGATAGACTTTCAGTCGCTCCCTACCTTCGATGGTGTTGTAATCCCAATCCGGTCGGCCCAAGGGGAAAGCATCATCAATGAGGTTGGGCATCAGGGTGGGGCTCCCATCAGCCCCAGGAACATTCTTTCTCTTCTCTAAAAGAATGTGCTCTTGTTCCTCAGTGGTAAACAGCGTCTGCAACAGCTGTTGGCAATCATCCCAGGTGGGCTGATGAGAAAACATAAGGGACTCCACAATACCTGTCAATCTCTGTGGTTCCTCAGAAAAGGAAGGGTGGTTAGTCTTCCAGTTATACAGGTCAGAGGAGGAGAATGGCCAATACTGAAGCGGCTGCAGAGCCGCAGGTTGACCATTAGGACCCTCAGGGGGAGGTGGCCCATAAGCTCTCAAGGGGAGGGCTACTGTGGAATGAGGTGCCCCAGGGGAAACTGCTCTCTGACTCCGCATCCCTGAAGCAGGTCCATGAATTTCCCTGGAAGGCGCTGAGGGCTCTGCAATAGGCTTGGGAGGGGCAGGGGCTTGTGGATAAGGGGGAGGAAGGGGTTCCGACCAGGTTGGGGTCCCCTCAATCTCTGGGTATATCCGTGGGCGAGGCTGGATTCCTGGAGGCCTTTCATCTTTGTCTGATGGGGCCTCCTTTAGAGAAAAAACTTGAGTGATAGGCCAATTCATCGACCGATGTACCCAAGGTTTTACCCAAGGTGGGGGGTTCAGGACGAGGTCTTGCCAGACCACAATGTAGGGTTGCTGGTCAGGATATCTTCCGGGTCCAGCCTGGAAAACAATATCTTTAATGAGCAATATTATTTCTGTATCAAAAGTGCCCCATGATGGCCAGCCTACACCTAAAGATGGCCACTCAGAGGCACAATAAGTCTGCCAGGGTCTTTTCTTTATTAGTACAGATAAGTCTCTACTTCTGGCCCTAACTTCAGTCCAGTGCTTCAAGGTCAAGTCCAAAGATGTCATCACAGTCTGTCCCATAATTAAAAAGCAAGACAAGATTCCACAAATAACATACACACAGATACCGAATTAATCTCAGATTCAGAATCCCAAGGGGAGATTCAGACATCTCCGAAAATCCCCGTACCTGGGACGTCTCCCAGGTTGCAGCCTGTGGCCCTCCAGGCACGTCTACCGGCCACTGTCAGACAGTCCTTACAGACCACCGGACACTGCGAAACTGAAAGTGCACTATACAGAATACAGACAGACAACATTCAAAGCGGGGATCCCCTCTTTCCTCCAAGGTCGTTCTCAGGAGTGAGGAGCAATCGCTAATCCCAGACGAGCCCCCAAATGTAAGATCCTCCCAGGAAGGAATCCCACCACTCTAAGTCCGGGACCCCACGATGCACCATAAACACCCCGGAGAGATGATTCTTGATGCAAAGCACAAGAGGTCCTTATTCCAGTGCACTGGGGCTCAGCTCATAACCCTCGCAGGGGCAGAGAAATTGAGCCCCGAAGCAGGGTAGAGACACAGTTTTTAAAGGAAAAAACCACAAGCTATAGGGTAGGGGGAATTCTGAGAAAGGGGTCAATTATGGGAACATTCAGTTACAAAGGGTGGGGACTTTGGGGAAGTGGGACCATGGATTGTTCAAAGGGGTAGGGTCTGTTCCACACCAGACGTTTATCTTGGTTCCTGCCTCTCAGGAATGTTTAAGGCGACCTTCTGACCTGTCATGGTTAGCTGACTCTGCTAGGGGTTGGGCTCTTAGAGCTTCTTAATACTTTTCCTAACATAACCACCTGAGAGAGATCAAGGCTGTAAAACTCTATAAAAGAGGAAGTTGTAGCCCATTACTGGGTCGATCAGGACACTGCCATTAGGTGTGGTTGACCACTGTCCACGGAGTAAACTTTTGTTATTTTACTTCGAATCTGCTGCCTCTCTGTGTGTCATTTGCCAATTCCTTCCATGACAGTACTACCCCTAAATACAGACATCTCCTACTAAAGTTAGTGACTTAACAACTTTAAAAGTGTCCTACCATGATTTTGAAAATGTTGAAGATAGATTTAAAATCACTTATTATATCAAGACACAGGAACATCTCAAGTGAGAAAAGACAACTCATGCCAATGTCAAGTGAGGCAGACGCACAGGCATTCTAAAGAAGCATTTAATGCAACCACCACAATACTGATTCAATAAATATTACAAGTTCAATTGAAACTTTTGAAAATCCCCAGCAAATAAACAAAAATTATACAAATATAAGGAATTGAAAGTCACAGAAATGAAAAACATAATAATCAAAATAAAATTTTGTTGTAATTGTTCAATAATTCAGTGGCAATGACAGGTCATATGAACTTATAGATTGAAGAAACTAAGCCATCGAAACTTCTGAAAACCAATACAGAAGAAAACTGGAAAAAAACAAAAAAAATTTTAAAAGCAAGTGAGACAGTGCATTAGCTTTACAGAACACCACTTTGGGTAATAGCTGATTTCTCCTCTGAAACCAGTGGCCAGAGGGAAATGACACTTAGTTTTATCAAATACTGAAAGGACAGAACTGGTAACCAGAGTTCAGTAACACTGTCTTTTGGCAATAATAAGGAAATAAATATGTTCTCAGAAGAAGAAAAACTAAGAAAACCTTTCATTAATTGAATATTGTTTATGAAAAAAATTCATTGAAAACACTGTGTATTAGGCAGGTTGAAGATCACGTATTGGAGAAAAATTATAATTGTTAGCATTAATCAGAAACTGGAGTAACTATACTAATATAAACTAAGGCAGACTTTGTTGAGTCTAAGACACTGATATTTCTCATAACATAATTTTGCTTTGCCATGCTGTTCTTCAATGAGTTTTTAATTTTAATGATTTTGCAAGTTAACTTCTTTTATCATTTTTAATGTTTCCCTGCAGAAATTCCTACCCCAGAATAATGAAAGTATTCTCCTTATTTACTTTTACATTTAGGACTGTGTTCCCTTTTTGTGTAACTGATGAATACTGGAGTTGTGAACTTTCACAGATGTGAAGGGACTTCTCATGATGAACATTCATAACTTCAAACAAATCACTGAAGTAGCTCATGTGTCTGCAGGACATTTCCACAGTTGTGGTACCATGTGTTTACGGTGCAGTACAATAGTGTACAATAGTACAGTAAAGTTGGAGACTTCCTACTGTGTTTTTGTATCTGTGGGTTTTTTTTAATGCTTTACATTGTATATTTGTGTCAATAGTGTATAAGACAGTGCATTAGCTTTGTTGGTCTTACAAATAAATTCGACTACAAATGACCATCTGGAAAAGAACTTATTTGTAAATTGATGACTTTGTGTACTATACACTCAGTGAAATGTGACTATGACATTATTTATTTGTATATTTTGTTTTTCCATACCAAAATATAATTATTTCATTACATTTTTTTTATTATTTCTTCATCGATATACATAGGATACTTTTTAGAAGAAGATAAATTAACTTTGTGAAAATTATTATTTCAGAATTCTTTCTATTTTCCTTCAATCTATTTATCTACCTTTTTGCTAGTGTTACACTATTTCATTATTGTTACCTCGTAGTGATTTTGAAATCAGTAGCTAAGTCCTCTTAAGTTCCTTCTGTCATAATTTGTAAATCTTTTCATGTCAATAAATAAAAGATACTTCATTGATCTCTACAACTCAGACTCTTAAAATTTTGATTCAGAATGCATTGAATATAATGTGGGTGGTTTGCAGAATTCACATATTTGCAACAGCTAGTCTTTTTATTCATAAATATTCTATGTATCAGTAAATCTACACAAAACACTATGAATAAGTCAGAATAATTAACATTTCTTTATCCTTATTTTTCTTTGTATTTGGAGACTTCCAAATTATTCTCTTCTAGTTCTTCATCAAATATAATAATATATAGTTGTCAATAGTAGGGACATTACTGTGCTGTAGAAAACTAAACTTCTTCCTATTTAACTGTATTTTGGTGCCCAATATACAACCTACATCTCTCCCCTCTCCCTTTACGATTGCTATCCTGTAAGAATCACTACTCTGTCCTCTTATGCTTTGAGGTCAACTTTTACAACTTTTGCATGGATGTGAAATTATATGGCATTTGTCTTCTGAACTAGTCATTTAATTTAAAATAATATTTTCAGTTTTATTCATATTGTCAAAAATAATAAACTTTCATTCTTTTTCATTTTCTTTTTTCATTCATGCATTGATTATGTGTATGTACTACATTAAAAATTCATTAGTTTGTTCCTTTTTTATTACTGTGGACAGTGCAGTAAGAAACAACCCTAACCCTGAAATACTGATTTCATGTCCTTTGGATATACACCCAGGAGTGAGATTGTGAAGGAAGGTTGTTCTATCTTTAATTTTTGGGACATCTCCATACTCTTATCCATAATAGATATACTAATTCATTTTTCCATCAAAATCATTCAAGTGTTCTCTTTCATCCACCTCATTACCACTTGATAGCTTTTATCTTTTTGATACTCTTGTATTTTCATTCTATGATTGGTCAAAACCATCGATGCAGAATCTGCAGATCTAGAAGGCTGACTATATACTGCGCATTTTCCTAAGAACATTGTAAACATTCATTTAATTATCTCAGCAATACAATGTATCTATAATCTTAATTATCAAGATTCCAAAATATAGTGGCTTAAGTAAAATAAAATTTTCTTTTTCTTTCATGTAACTGTGCAATATTGAGCAGAAGGGTGACAGGAAGGTACCATGCCACTTAAATATTAGTCTCTTATAAAGAATGTAGGTGTATTTACTACATCATTTCAGAGGCTAAAGCCCAAGATTTAGTGGTTCCACTTGTTTGACCTTAGTTGATGGCTTTCTAGCTCCACCAAAACATAGCAGATGACATCATTGTGGGGCAATGTTTATGTGTGTGTGTGCACACATTTGAATGAAAGGTCACAAGGCACGTCAGGAAACAGGAGACTGATTATGGGACAGGTTCACTCTTCCTCTAACAACTCACTGTCATGGGAACTAATGCAATAGTGCCAGCCCTAACTCACTCCTAGAGATGGCTTTAATCCATTCTTCAGAGTGGAGCTCCCTGACATAATTATCTCCCACTATACTCTACTTCTTAACGTTTTCTCTACTTCAACACTGCCACACACTAGGGAACAAGCTTTTAGCACATAAACCTTTGGGAAACAAACCACATTCAAATCATAGATTATTTAGTCCATTCATAATTAATGTTATTAGTAATATGTTGAATTTACAGCTGTCATTTTACTTTATTTGTTGTTGTTGTTTTGAGACAGGGTCTCACTATGTAGTTGAGACTGACATTGAACTGACTATGTAGCCCAGGCTGGTCTCAAACTCACAGCGATCCTCCTGTCTCAGCCGCCTGAGTGCTGGGATTACAGGAGTGCACCACCTTGCCTGACTGTCATTTTACTTTTTATTTTGTATCTCATATCTTACTTGTTCCTTTGTGTCTCTTTTCTTCTTCTTACATGAAGAGAATATTTTCAAACTTAACTTTCCATTTTTAAATGTTTTCCAAGTTATTTTCATAGTGTTAGGTATTAAACTTACTATTTATATCTTCTCTATATCTCAGTTCAAGTGAGATGTAGCAATGTTACTTCTGTAGAGCTCTATTTCTTCCTCCTTTTTGCAGTAGTATTGTTATATATATTATAGTTATAAATGTTGTAAACCTTGCTGTATGTTTTGTCAATGTTAATTTGTATAATATTTATATATATCTTTTAAATAATTTGAGAGCTGAAAATATATTTATGTCATTTGTTACTATAATTTTTAAAAATAATTTTTCTTCTTTTCATTTCCTGTGGGTTTTTCTTACTATCTGGAATATTAACTTATGCTAATATGACCTTACATTTTACTGTTACTGGAATGTATACCACATTTTTCTATGTTGTAGGCTCAGTGATGACCCCTCTCAAATCACCTTCCCTCCCTCACTTGTAGCT